CGGCATGAAGGAGGACGAGGTGCTACAGTTTCTCAATCCGATGCACGGGTTCGCACACGCACTTCGGAAGTGGTGGCTACATGTCAAGGGTGCGCTCAACCGGCTCAAGCTTGAGGCCATCCAGCGCGAGCCCTGCGCCTGGGTCATCAGGGGCGACGACGGCGAGCTGATCGACATGGTCATCCTACATGTAGACGACATGATGATCGCCGGAGACCACGCTCGCAAGTTCTTCCGGCAGAAGCGGAAGGATATTCAACCAGTTTTCGAATGGACACCTTGGGGGAGCAAGGCCCTCTTTCAATGTCGAGTCAGCATCCGCCAGAAAGATGATTTCGCGTGCAGCCTCGCCCAGGACACTTACAGCATGAACGTGGAGCCGATTCCAGTCATGCGCAGGCGGAAAGCCTACTGACGGAGCTTCTGATCGCGAGCGCTCTGATTTACGGGGACGGCTTGGCACCGTGGGCCGGAGAGCGCAGCAGCCAGCGCCGTGGCTCAGCGCCGAAGTTTCTTTGCTACGAGCCGAGATTCCTACCGCGACGGTCTCCGCGACTCAGAAGATCAACGATGCCTGCGATTGAGAAGCTGGCAGTTTTCGGCTGGGGCGACGCCGCATGGGCAGCCCGGATCACTGGAGACTCCCATGGACGCGAGATGATCGCGCTGGCACCGCAATCGTTTCTAGCATGATCTACCATGACAGTGTCGCCGATTTGTTGGCGATCGTGCAAGTTGCCACGCGTTGCTAGAAGTGGCGCGAGTGCCGAGGTGCAGATGATGACGGAGACGCTCGACGAGATCAGCTACGTGCGACTGTCCATCTACGAGCTAGAGTGTGGCCACGTGGACTACACCAGCAAGCAGGCCGTGAACAGCGCCATCTCAACCTGTCCTGGAGTCCTGGTCACAGACGGGGAGTCTGGGCACGACGCCATCGAGAAGAGCGTGTCTGCTGGACTGCGTCTTCGAGACAAGAGGACCAGTATCGAGGGCCTGGGCGTCAGGCAGCAGAAGCAGCAGACGGGGCTCCAGATTCACCGGGTTCACAACGACGCGATGCTGGCCGACGGGCTTACGAAGGACCGCGCTGCCAAGGCCCTGCTGGAGTTCTTCAGAAGTGAGCAGTGTTGGCGCTTTGTCCGGTCAGCACGCATGCCAAGTCCGAGGACATCGACAAGCTAGACCACGGCCCGCCGCTGCATCCGGACACCGCCCTGGAAGCCCTGCTGTACTTCTCGCGCGACGACGACTCAGCAGGCTGGGACTGCCGGGCATGAGGCCCTCTGGGGCGGGGTGAAGCCTCCCGCGAGCTCTGTGTTTTCTGTAAATTTAGGAGGTAAGGCCAGGCTTCGATGCCGTAACATCGAACTTTACCTTTTGGGCGTGCAACTCACAGCCCAGAGCCTGCAACTCACAGCCCAGAGCCTACCTCCCTGTGCCTACTTACGACAGATGGCCCACAGAGGCCCAGTGTGTCAGACATTTCAAGACATAGCTCCGGAGGGGCCCAGTACATATTTTCCATAACTCATGTAAGTCCGCGTTCCCTGGCGTAGCAGGTTCCCTTTTTGGCCTCCAGAGTTGCAGCCTAGCCGAGCTAATCGCCTCTCCGTTCTTTTCCCAGAAAAGGGCCGCAAAAGGTCGATCCCCCCAAAAAAGGAAGAGGCCGATCATGTTTCAACAGAATGTTCCGTGCCGAAGCCATTCTGGCTCAAGCCTCTGTATAGCAGATCGAGGCTGCTAGGCAACTGACTTGCTGTCTGAACCGCAGCACGGCGATCTGGCCCGCTGAGAAAACGTGTTCCTGAACCGTGGCGTCGCGTGTCCAACGACGCACCCCCCCCATCAACTGCAATCACATCGTTCGAGGAGGTTCCAAACGAGATAGAAATATCGAACACTACATCAGTCAGGAGCTCGAGGAGATCAGTATTCAGTGTCATCGGCAGTTGTCTAAATGGGACCATTGCAGAGGAAACGCGAGGAGGAGAAGGGGGAGGGGGGAAGAGGGAGGAGGAGGGGACAGAAGGGAGGAGGAGGGAGGAAACGGACGGAAGGACGTAGGAGGGAAGAGGAGGGAAGAGGAGGAGGAGGAGGAGGAGGAGGAGGAGGAGGCTGAGGAGGGGGAGGAAAGGGATGAGGAGGAGGAGGATGAGGAGGAGGAGGAGGCGGAGGAAGACGGATGCGGAGGAGGAAGAGGAGGAGGAGGACCAGGACGACGAGGACGAGGAGGAGGAGGACGAGGAGGAGGAGGAGGGGGTGGAGGAGAAGGAGGAGGAGGAAAAGGAGGATGATGAAAAGGCTGAGGAGGACATAGGAGGAGGGATGCGGAGGAGGAAGAGGGAGGAGGAGGGAGGGGGAGGGAGGAGGAAATAATAGGAGGGGGGAGGAGGGATGGATGGAGGGAGGGAGGAGGGGAGGGTGGGCGGGAGGGATGGCGGGACGGACGGGGGGATGGCGGGCGGGAGGGAGGGAGGGGGGACAGCGGGAGGAGGAAGCGGACGAGGGAGGAGGAGGAGGAGGAGGCGGTGGAGGAAAAGGAGGAGGATGAGGAGGAATATGAGAGGAGGAGGAGGAGAGGAGGAGGAGGAGGAGGAGCAGGAGGAGGAGGAGGAAGAGGAGGAGGAGGAGGAGGAGTCAGGAGGAGGAGGAGGAGGAGCAGGAGGAGGAGGAGGAGGAGGAGGAGGAGGAGCAGGAGGAGGAGGAGGAGGAGGAGGAGGCTGAGGGGAGGAGGAGGAGAGGGAGGGGGGCGGGGAAAGGGAGAGGGGAAGGGGGAGGGGGAGAGGGGGGCAAGCTAGGTGCGCTCGCGTCATATCTGACATCCTACCCCCTCCCTCCCATCCCTTACCATGGCGTAGATCTCCTCTCTACTCGCACAGTCGGGTGTTGAGCAGGGCAGTGATCCCGAAAAGGGTACGCGATGCATTGTAGAGCACGGCGTGGCATGGCGTAGAAGAGCACCGCAAAGCGTGGTATGTCACAGCATGGCGTGGCGTGGCGAAGTGAATAATTTCATCACAACGCTTTGCAACGCAACGCATGGCATCGCACAGCGGCCCCGAACATAACATTGCATATCATGGCGTTGAAGATCAAAACGTATCATGGCATAGCATGACGTGGCACTTACGCAATGGATATGACAGCTGCAACTGAAGGCATAGCATCGCGCAGCGGAACGCAACCTAGCATTGCATTGCATGCCGTGGCATGGCACGGGACATGACGCCAGCGCTGCAGCGGGAGCACGATTCGGAACGAGCGAAAGCGCGGAAATGAGGCCAGCGCTGCAGCGGGAGCATGATTCGGAACGAGCGGAAGCACGGAAATGAGGCCAGCGTTGCAGCGGGATCACGATTCGGAACGAGCGGAAACCCGAAAATGAAGCCCGCGCCTCAGCGAGAACATGATTTTGAAAAAACAAGCGAACACCAACCTCCGGGACATCTTGTGTGTAAAAAACAATACGCGGAAAGGGGTGCCCGCCATTTTCCGCACGCCATCAGGGTATGGAGGAGAGTAGAATTCATATTGTGTAGTTCTGGAAGAGGAGGAGGAGGAGGAGGAGGAGGAGGAGGAGGAGGAGGAGGGAGGAGGAGGAGGAGGAGGAGGAGGAGGAGGGGGAGGGGGAGGGGGAGAGGGGAGGAGGAGGAAGAGGAGCAAGCGGGGGGGGAGAGGAGGAGAGGAGGAGGAGGAGGAGGGATGCGGAGGAGGAGGAGGAGGAGGAAAAAGGAAGAGGAGGAGGAGGAAGAGGAGGAGGAGGAGGAGGAGGAGGAGGAGAGAGGAAGAGGAGGAGGAAGAGGAGGATGAGGAGGAGGAGGAGGAGGAGGAGGAAAAGGAGGAGGAGGAGGAGCATAAGGAGGAGGATGAGGAGGAGGAGGAGGGGAGGAGGAGAAGGAGGATGGTGGAGGAGGAAGAGGAGGAGGAAGAGGAGGAGGAGGAGGAGGAGAAGGAGGATGGAGGAGGAGGAGCAGGAGGAGGATGAGGAGGAGTCAGGAGGAGGAGGGCGGAGGATGCGGAGGAGAAGGAGGAGGAGGAGCAGGAGGAGGAGGAGGAGGAGGAGGAGGGGGAACAGGAAGCGGAAGAGGAGGAGGAGGAGGAGGAGGACGAAGAAGAGTTGGAGGAGGAGGAGGAAGACGAAGAAGAGGAGGAGGAGGATGAGGACAAGCTAGGTGCGCTCGCGTCATATCTGACGTCCTACCCCTCCCTCCCATCCCTTACCATGGCGCTGATTTTCTCTATCCGCGGACGCGTGTCGTAGCGGACCTGTGGCTCCGCGCGCGCGTGCGTAGTGGGTGGTGGTGCGCGTGCGTGCGTGCGTGCGTGTGTGCGTGGTGTGGTGGTGGTGTGGTGGTGCTGGTGCTGGTGCTGGTGGTGGGTGGTGCTGGTGCTGGTGCTGGTGGTGGTTGTGGTGGTGGGTGGTGGTGGTGGTGGTGGTGGTGGTGGTGTGGTGGTGGTGGTGGTGGTGCGGCGCGGTGGTGGCGGGCGGATGGGCGCGCGAGAAAGAGGCCCGCGCTGGGGCGAGAACGCCATCCTGAACGACGGAGGCCAAACACCGATCCGAAAATGAGGCCCACGCTGCAGCGGGAGCACGATTCGGAACGATTCGGGAGCAGAAATGAGGCCGGCGCCTCAGCGAGAGCAGCATTTGAAAAAAACGCAGGCGAAAACCCGTTCCAGGGAATCCTGTGTGTAAAAAACAGTACGCGGGGGGGTCGGATATCTTCGGGACGCCATCAGGGGAAGTGGGAGAGTATTTTCATATTGTGTAATTGTGGAGGCAGAGGAGGAGGAGGAGGGGAAGGAGCAGAAGGAGGAGGAGGAGGAGGAGGAGGAGGAGGAGGAGGAGAGGGATGAGGAAGACAAGCAGGAGGCGAGGAAGAGGAGAGAGGGAGGAGGAGGAGGAGGAGGAGGAGGAGGAGGAGGAGGAGGAGACTCGAGGAGAGTGGGAGGAGGGCCCGCGTCCAGACCCCAGCGATCTCGGCCGTGCCCGCGAGGCCGCGGCGAAGCCCAAGAGCTCCGCCCCGCCGGCGAGCGACGCCGCGGGGAACCCGAAGGCCGTCTCCGCCGGGCACACATCGGGGGCTGCGGCAGGGACGGCTCCTCCCTGGGGGGTAACGTTGAGGGGGATCGGAGATGGGCTCAGGGGAAGCGCATCGGACTGATGATGCTCTGTCTGTGCGGTCTGCCAGGTCCGCCGGGTCTGCCTTGTTTGCCGGGTCTGCCGGGTTTGCCGGGTTTGATAGGTTTGCCGGGTTTGATGGGTTTGCCGGGTTTTCCAGGGCCCGCTGGGTTTGCCAGGTCCGGCGGGTCTGTCAGTTTTGCCGGGTCTGCTGAGTCCGCTGGGTCTGCTGGGTCTGCTCGGCCCGCCGGGTCCGCTGGGTCCCCCGGGTCTGCTGGGTTTGCCGAGTCTGCCAGGTTTGCCGGGTCTGCCGGAGGCGGCGGGACTCGCACGCGCGGAACTCGCACGACGCACGGAACTCGCACCCATGGAACTCGCACGCATGGAACTCGTAACTCGCACGACGCGGAGCTCGCACGAGGCGGAACTCGCACGCATTATTTGAACTCACACTGAGCGGGACTCGAACGGACGGAAGTTGCACGAAGCGGAATTCGTCCAGACGCAGCTCGCACGCGCGGAACTCGCACGGACGGAACTCGCTCGCATGAATTTGCTGTGGGTCTGAAGCTTCTCTGTGTGCGAGTTCCGTCCGTGCGAGTCCCGTCCGTGCGTTTCGCGTCCGTGCGAATTTCGCCCATGCGAGCTCCGTCCGTGCGAGTCCCGCGCGTGCGAGTTCCGTCCGTGCGAGCTCCGTTCCGTGTGAATTTCGCCCGTGCGAGTTCCGCCCGTGCGAGTTCCACTGCCCGCCGCTCCACATGGGCGGGGTGGACGGACGGACGGAGGGCGGGCGAGGGAGGGAAGTGGCAGGTGTATGGTTGCTGTACTGCTCATGCGCTGCGCGGTGCTCAAGGGCACGGCGGTGCCCACCAGCACCGTTCCATGCGGGGCGTGGTGGTGGCCGCCTGCGCGTGACGCCTGTAGACTCGTAGGATGGTCCTCTGGCGGTCCCAACATTCACTGGCGTGCTCGAAACGCTCCCCGTTCTCACACGCATGTTGCTGGTGCTGATGAGCATGTTTCGAGGCCTAAAAGGGCCCGAACACGCCCGAGAGGTTTCCCAAGAAGCTTCCAAACTTCCCACGAGGGTCCGCAAAGGAGGAGCCCGAACTGACATGTCAGACTCTTTCGCGATGGATGGTCCCCCACACAGCTAAGAAAAGCCCAAGAGGGCCCCAAGAAATCTCCAAGACGCCCCGAAGACGCCCCAAGGGGCTCCCAGGAGGGCCCCAGGAGGCCTCAAAAGTACCCGAAGAACATCTCGATGTAGCAGGCATGGCACTGAGGCGCTCCACTGTGGAGCCGATAGGGATCGTTGTCGCCACAGGCTGAGATCTTCATTCAGACGCTCACAGACGGAAGCGCCAGGAACTGAGACGAGAGAGAGATTTGCCACACGTTCTTTGGCGGCGCTGGGGGGGCTGCCGTTCGAACCGCATTCCTCGGTTCCACGGTCCTGTCCAAACGAGTCGCGCACCCCTGGAGCATTCTCGGCGTGGTGCATCTGCTGGAAACCAGTTTGGGCCTCGCGTTCGCTCTCATAGACAGCCACCCTTCACAACGAAGGTTCCAAAACAATTGCGGTGATACAATATGGGCGGACGGAACGAGCGAAGCGATTCAACTGATTTCGGATCGCCTTGGCCAGAGAGGCCCCCAAACTAACAAACGGCGATTTTTTTCGAGACTTCCTCGCCATTCAATCACGTTGGTAACGTCCCAGCCACGACGACAACGACTCCCGCTCTTCAGTTCCTCACGATTTACTCGGAGACGCTCTGACCATAGAGGGACCCGAAATCAGGAACGGTGCTCTCGTCCGACACTCCCTTGGAATCCAATCAATTTCGCGACAGCCCACCTACGACGGCAACGGCTCCCGCTGGATTCTTCCTGACAACTGACGCCGAGACGTCCTGGTTGGTGAGTTGTCCGCGGGCGCGTTAGCTCGCATTACGGTCATTGCATCGCAGCGTGCATGCAATGTACATTTCTGATTTCTTCTTCCAGGAGCTAGTACGAAACGAAGCCCCGAAAGGGGGTTGGTTCGTAGACTTAGCGGGCGGGTGCCAGGAAGAGGGAGAAACAAATGAAAGGTAAAGCTGATTTTGGGTTGGGTCGCATGTTCGCAGGATGGTCGTTGTCGTTGTTGCCCTCGTCGGCGGCGTCGTCGTCGTCGCCTTCTTTGTCGTCGTCTTCATCGTCGTCCTCGGTGTCTTCGTCGCCCTTGTCGTCGTCAGTGTCGTCGCCCTCGTCGTCGTCGTTGTCGTCGTGGTCGTCGCTGCCCGCGTCGTTGTCGTCGTGGTCGTCGCCCTCGTTGATGTTCGCTGGATGCATTGCACACTATAATACTGGCCCGCCCGACCGGCCTGTGAGGGTCCGCACGCCCGACCCGTCCGCAAGGATCTGCCCGCTGGCCGACCGTCAGTGTCCACCCTTCTGGCCCGCCCTTTAGGCCTTAGGGTTATCGTCGCCGTCGTCGCGTTCATCGGCGTCATCATTGTCCTCCTCGTCGTCGTCGTCGTCGTCGTCGTCCTTGTCGGCGTCGTCGTCGTCGTTGCCCGCGACCTCGTCATCGTCTTTGTTCTCGTTGCCGCCGTCGTCCTCGTCCTGTCGTGTTCGTCGCCCTCGTCACCGTTGTTGTCGTCGCCCTCGTCGTCGTCGTCGTCACCCTCGCTCTCGTCGTCGTATCTCTCGTGCGTGTTCTGCTGGATGCTTGGACGCTACTGTCATGTCACGGCCGACCCGACCCGCCCGCTCGGTAGGGCCCGCCCGCCCGACACGCATTTTGGGACCCGCCCGCCCGACTCGCTCGGTAGGGTCCGCCCCCCCGACCCGCTCGACCCACCGGCTAGGGTCCGCCTGCCCGACCCGCCAATTAGGATCGTCGTCGGAGTTGTCGCCCTCGTCGTCGTCGTCGTCGTTGGCCTCCTCGACGTCGTCCTCGTCGTCGGTGTCGTCGCCGTTGTCACCCTCGTCTCATCCTCGTCCTCGTCAGCGACCCCGTCCTCGTTGTCGTCTTCGTCGCCCTCGTCGTCGTCGGCTTCGCCCTCGTCGTCGCCCTCGTGGATGTCCGGCTGGATGGATTGCCCTGTTCGGGTCCGCGGGCGGGCCCCCTCACAGCCGCGGGCTGGCGCTGCCAGAGCCTGCCCGGGGTCCACGCCGAGCGCACCCGGCACGCCGCAGCCACCCGTGGCTCCACAGGGAGGGCGCGCCGCCCTCCCGGCAAGGGTCTGACTCCCCCCATGCAGCACCTCGACTGCGGCGCCCCGGGCCCGCCTGCGGACCTGCTCCCCGCGCCAGCCGGGCTGGAGCCGTTCCCGTACACTGTGAACTTCGCGGACCTCCCGCTGGTGGAGGTCCCTCGAGATCCCGGCGTCTCCACGTTTTCGAGCCGAGCGTTTTCCCATGATTTCTGGCCCCGTGACCCGCGCAGATCGATCCGGCTCGGGAGCTGGCTCGCAGAAAGTTGGGGCTTGGGGCTCCGGGCGTGATTTTCGACGATGCTGCAATCTTTTAGCCGCGTCGGATCTCAGGGGACCTCCCGCTGGTGGAGGTCGTGCGGGTGCCGGGTTGGCCGGTGCCCGCCGCCCAGGTGCTCCAGGGGCGGCAGAGCCTCGCGGGGCTGCAGCAGCGGGTTCGTGCCGTGTCGGCGCGGCGGCGGGCCCGCGGACACCAGCGCTGGTGATCGAGGTTGAACACCGCTAGTGGCGGGGGGTCGGTCGGCATCGAACGATCTGCGCCCTCGGAAGGCCGCGATCTTTGCAGGGTGAGCAGTCCGCGCGGTGTCAGAGGCAGAACCCAGCGCACACGTCGTCAGGACATGAACCTGCCGTAAGTGAGATCCGGTGTTGTTCGGATGGGGTTAGGACGAGGATAATCCGTCCAGAGCTTTGCGGAACGCTCTCAGAGCGTTCTGGAACGCTCTAAGAAGGCCGCGGCGACCGAGGCATCCTGATCCCTGGGATCTCTGAGATTCTCAATATTTATCCTCGTCTTGGCTTCGTCTTGGTCATTCCGCCCTCCCCCCGCCCCCGCACCCCCTTTCTGGACGGAGGGTTGAGTATGTTCCTCGCCAGGTCCCCTCCCTCTCTATAGAGCTGCGCGCAGGAATGTCGGCGCGTCGTCAATGGTGGTCAGCTGTTCCCAAGCAGATATTGCACATTGAAAAAAGACTAGACCTGGCCCCCGAGGCATATTCAGCTGAGAAGCTTCGATGCCACCTCTTATTATATCTGGCCGCGCGCGTCGTGGTCGTCTGCAGTTGCTTCGGCCGTGAATCCTGGCGTGGAATTTTCGGGTGGGCGCTTTATGCAGGCGATTGCCCAAGCATTGAGGGTGCGGGGGCGGTGCTCTTTGAAGGCTTGCGTGCCGCGTTCTACGAGCGGTTCGTCAGCCTTCCCTTGGCACCTCTCGCGGATTACGTCGGTTCCTCCGCGGGGTCCTCGTGGTCCGCTCTGGCCGACCTGAGCGGCGCAGGGTACTGCCTTCCCGCCGCCGCATTCTCTGCGAAGGCTGTTTCGTCGGCGCTCTGGTGGCCCGCTGGCGGGGGTCATCAGGGCACCTTCGCAAGTAGGCGGCGATCGCCGCTCGCATCCACTGGGGAGCTCGATCGCTGCCCGCAGCGCGCTTTGGCCCGCGGCCCAGGCGCGCGGGCTGAGGAGCGAGCGCGGGCCCTGGGGCGAGGCTCCGTCGCTGCATTTCATCGCGGCCGAGCTCGGCGTGGGGCTTGCTCGCCGCCAGTCAGCCGACAGCATGGGCGGACGACGCATCCGCGTGGGAGGGGTTCGCCGTCCCCGACGGGCCGCGCAGGTCCGACTTTCGCCCGTTCTCGCCCCCGACAGCGGCGCGCACCGCTGGCGGCTGGGCGAGGGCGAGGCGAGTTGTGCCGCGATCCCCTCGGCCATTCGGGCTGGGGACATTTTGCCGGTATTGCCCGTGTCTTTTCACTCAGCCGAACTTCTCAGTTTGGCGGGGGCGGATGTGTTCAGCAGGCTGGTCGGCCCCTTTCAAGCGGTCAGCGTGTCCTCACCCGGCGCGGCGTCGCGCCCGCTGAGCACGACCCCATTCAGTGCTGGTGGTCGATCCAAAGATCTCCGAGCTGGAGCTGGAGGTCCTGGCCCTGGGCTTGTCCCGTTCGGCTCTGTCCGTGGCCGCGCGCGCTGGCCGCGCCCTTCTCGTCGGCCTGCGCGACGGCTAGGCGGCGATTCACGGCGCGGCGCCCTTGGGCGTTGAGGGGCGCCCGCTGGCCTGGAGAGAGCGACGCCAGCGACGCTCTACTTTCCCGCGGGCGAGTTCGCAGCGGGCGTGGGGGAAGACGACGCCGACGTCGAGGGGCGCCGCCCCCTCCCCGCGCAAGCGACGCCGCTGCCAGCGGCGCCTCCGCTGCCGCCGCGGCCCGGTTTCGGCGCCGCGCCGAATCCCTGGCCGAGCGAGGCCCGCCCGCGCGCAAAAGGGGCGATCGCCGAGGGCGCGCCTATGACCCGCGCAGGAGCCCAGTTGGAGATCCACCGGCTGATGGCCGCGAATGCGGCCCAGTCGGTGGCTCCGCCTCCAGGCGCGCGCCCAATCGCGCTTGGCGCCCGCGTCGAGGCGCCCCGGGCGTTTTCGGGCGATGCGGCGCGCGTGGGCGCCCTTCAGAGGTGCCTGCAGGCGATGCCGGCGCGCCGGCGCAGTCGCCCCCCTCCCCCCCCCCACTCGGCGCGCCCAGAGCCGCGCCCCGGCGCCCGCGTCGGCGTTGGCGACGTCGCGGGGCAGGAGGGCGCGCGCGGGCGCGCGTCCGCCCCCGCCGCCGCCCTCGGCGCCGCCGCCTTTCCCCGGGGCTGGCCGGGCCCGACGAGGTCGGCGGCGACGTCGGGGAGGGCGTCGCGGAAGACGGGCGTCGCCCGAGCAGCGCCCCAGAATCCAATTTGGAGCCGGCCCGGCGTTGCTGCTATTGTTTGGGCCCCCCAAGCTGTCAGGGCAGCCCGGCGTCGCATCCCCTCTGGGGGACACTCAGCGACCGCATTCATCCTGGTGCCCCCGCCCCTCTCGGGGCAGCGGTCGAGAGGGGGGCCGTCGGGGCCTCGGCGCGCGGGGTCGTCGGTCGCAGGGAGTGGCAGCAAGTGCTGGTGCAGCGCGGGCGAGAGATTTGATCCATCCTGCGGCCGAACCTCGCTCGGGCTCTGGGGGCGGAGCCGTCCGCGGTCGCCCCCATGGCCATGTTCCAGCGCATTCGCGGGCGCGTCCAGCTGGGGGCTCGCCCAGCGACGCGCGAGATGCTCGCCCACTTCGCGTGGCCGAGCGCGGGGCTGCGGCGCGCGTCCGAGAGCGGGGGTGCAGACAGGGTGGGGCGGGAACTCCAATGAGTTGCCAGTGCGCGTTTCTGAGACCCCCGCGCCCCGCTCTTTCCTGCCCCGCGCCCTGCTTCGGGCCATGGTTGCACTTGGCCTGCTGCGGGGCTGGCCTCTCGCGGCGGCCTTGCTGCTGCTGGGTTCCGCAATGTTCCCCCGCCCCGGCGAACGTCTAGTCGCGCGCCCACGTGACCTGTCGCTCCCTAGCGACCGCTTCGAAGCCAGCGGGGGTGCATCCCACGCCGCGAAGGTACCGGGGACCCGTCGCACCTTCACGACGCAGCACGTTCGCTGCTCCGACAGGGCGACGGCGAGGTCCCATGGAATTTGCGTTCCAGCATTTGTGCCCCGCCGATGCGCCATCACCGTTCGGGGACAGCGGCTTCCGCACTCGGTGGACCCATCTGCTTTCGGCTTTGCTCGTTCCGTTGTCCAGCGCGGCCTCTGCGTTGAACCTCGCGCCAGCTTGCCTCCGAGGTTCTGGGGCAACCCACTTCTACGTGGCCACGGAAGACGCCCCTCGCGTCTTCTGGCGCGGCCGTTAGCGGTGGGCCTCCGGCGCCGAGCGCGATCTCCAGGCTGCCGCCGTGTCGTCGACCGGTTTCGCCAGCCCTGCCTTCCTTGCCCCGAGCGCGCGTGGCGTTCTATGCCGCGAATGGCGACACCCTGGCCGCCCCCTTTCTATATTCGGGCCCTCCTGCGCGGTCCGCGGGAATCTCGCCCGCCCGCCCAAGTCTCGTCGCTGCGCAAGGGCTTCGAGCGTGGGCATAATGGCTGCATGAACGTGGCCGTCGGCAGGTTCAGCCATCGCAGCGGCGCAGCGCGGCCCGCGCGCGCCCGCCGGGGCCTGGCCTCTCGGCGCCCCGCCCGCGCTCGCCGGCTGTGGCGATGCTTTCTCTGCTTCTCTCTGCCCGCGCGCGCGTCGCGGTCGTTTGCGGCTGCTTCGGCCCCCGCCCTCCGCCCCCCCCTCTGACTGTCCTTCCTCGTCCGAAGTCAGCGCCGCTAAATGTGCCCGTCGACGCGCAGGGGGGCATCTCCATGTGAGCGGCACCGCGCGGCCCGCGCGCGCAGGCAGGGGCCCTGCCGTTTCGGGCCCCGCCCGCGCGCGCCGGCCGCGGCGTCCGCCCGACGCCCCCTGGCCAGCGCGGAGCGGCAGAATTTGCGGGCCCTGAGATCTGACGCGGCGAACAAATTGCAACATCGGATGACATCACGCCCGGAGCCCTAGACGCCATCTTGCTGCGTCGCGTCTCGAACCATGTCGATGTGCGAGAGTCCTGGGTCCTGGGGCCCGAAGAATTAGCGAAGACGCCTGGTTCGGACAAATTGAGACGCCAGGGTCTCAGGGGTCACCGATGCCTCGTTTCCTTCGTCCAGGGGGGCGGGGTCAGACGGGGTTAGGACGACTGCGGATCCATTCCAGAGCGTCCCGGAACGCTATGAGAAGGCCGCGGCGCCCGATACCTCCTCCAGATCCGCGGGGCCTCAGAGATTGTCCCAATCAGTGCTTAGAAGGGGTCCTAGCGGACATAGAAAAGATGGGCGAAAGTGGTTGGCCGATTTCGGTGGGCGGTTCTCGGTGGGCGGCTTTCGGTGAGCGCCCCCTCCAGAGATTGGCGAAAGTGGCCGGCCGATTTCGGCGGCTGCCTGTCGGTGGGCGCCCCCTCTCCATCTCTTTCTCTCTTTCTCTCTCTCTCTCTCTCTCTCTCTTTCTTCCTGTCTCTCTTTTGTAATCCGTAAGGGCTTCGCCCCCTGCCGCCGGCCCCCTCTCTCGGAGAATGGGCCATGGAAGAGCTAAGTCATGAGGCTTTGGCGCTGTCGCGCAGCAGTATCGGAACTTCATGCGAGGCCGATTCGCAATCGGCAAAACCAACTGATAACAAGAGGGGTTACCACACAGGGCGATTGGTAAAACGTGTATGGTTTACGAGCTTGGTTACCACACCTTGGGATTAGAGGGCCGAGGGAGTACTCGCAGTTTGGGTTACCACGCCTTGCGATGGATGTCCGTGAGGGGTGGCACCGAATTTCAGAAATGTGGCAAATCCCATGTGTTTTGGGACCCTGACCCCGCGGATCTGCGTGAGGGGTGGCACCAAATTTCAGAAATGTGGCAAATCCAATGTGTTTCTGGACCCTGACCCCGCGGATGTGCGGGGTGGCACCGAATTTCAGAAATGTGGCAAATCCAATGTGTTTTTGGGCCCTGACCCCGCGGATCTGTGTGAGGGGTGGCACCGAATTTCAGAAATGTAGCAAATCC